GCCCAGCTTCCTGATTGGCCGGGAAGCTGGCTCCCTCGTCACGAGTGACGAGGGAGCATGGTGCCGGCTTCCCGGCCAATCAGGAAGCCGACAAGCGTGTAATGACTCGCTGCCAGGCTTCCTGATACCAGAAGCATGGGGCTAGGCATTGGAGCAAATACTCGGCACCGATACCAGTAACGGTATTGGTGCCTCCCTACTTTTAAAGATTATTTCATTTAGTTTATTTTCCTCGCCTTTTCAAGCCGAAACGTGTCATCCGCAGTGTGATCCCCCAATACCGTTACCTATTCTGTGCTCATCCAGAACTCGTTCACTAGGAGGTGATATCACTGTGTCAGGTCCCAACAATGTCTCTGAAACTAACACATGTACAATAATTCATAATATATTACAAATATCCATTAGATTAGATTCTGCTCGTTTTAATGGCAAGCTCGTACCCCGGGATTCATTTATGTCCTCTGTTTTGTTTTAGTATTCGAAGTACATTTTTCTATTTTATTTTTTTATTCGTACCTATTTTTATTCACTTGTGATTCGCACGATGGTGTTTTATTCCGGACTCATCACTCATGTCCTCTCACTGTAGCTACAGTTTACATCAAGAAACAAACAAGAACAAAATGGCTGCTTTTTATTACCGTTTCACATTTTTTGGAAACCGTGCGCATTTTTTTTTTTTTTTAATCCGCAAAACGATAAAGTTGTTAGTAAAATAAAAATTTTAAAAATACTTTGTAACGCTATACACTGAATCGCGCAATTTATTTTTATACTCCAGAAGTACCGAACTTTGAATAGTTCACTCCCTGAATATGCCATCGCTTCCCTCTGTAGACATAGGATGAGGGGACATCCAGGAGAATTCGAGCGGTTGCTTTAAGAATTGTACATTTTAAAATGGCGATTGAACTCTAAAACAGGTGAACAGAGTCACCCCGACGGGAGCCAAGTGTCCTCTGTTCCTTTTTTTATTTAACTCGATGTGACCACGGTAAGCGTCAATTATACAGTGTACAGAGTACGTGGGATCGTAATAGTTTTTGACTGTTTTTTGCAACCTGTAAATCTGGATATAATTCCTTTTAATCCCCGCCCTCCTCAAAGGTCAGTCCCACGTAAGATGAATTTGTGAGACTGATGCGTTTACGGCGATACGTGTTGGCGGTTAATGCAGAATCGAGCGAGTGCGCGTGAGTGTGTCTTTAACTTTTGATACATGTAACATTTTATGTTTCCTCTGGGTTAAAAAACCAAAACTGGCTGCTGTGTCTATAGGACTGTGATTGGTTCATTTCCAGGGGTCCCCCCCCATCATGCTCCCCTTCTCTCATTGGTTCAGGTCCAGGGCAATAATGTTGCTATTTTGGAATAAAGGAACGAAAATTGCAGTTTTTTAGTTTTGTCCCACGACTGGGAGTTTTGAAGGCACTTTATTCCAGGTAGAGATGCATAGGATGTTGGATATGTTCCATTAGC